TACTGAACCAATGTTTTGTTTCTAATGTGAAATTTGAACCAAAGCACTTACAGGCACACTTTGTATGTTTTGAGGAGAGCAAATAATGTTTGAAAGTACAACAAATGTAATAACTCTTGTATGGACAATTTAAAATTCTCAGATTTGAATATTGCTTTAAAGTTTATTACACGAGGGGTTTTTTTTTCTTCCCCAGAGGTTTCAGATGATATAGGCTGAAAAACTAACTAGCAGGAAAATGGAACAAGATGTTTGAATGCAATGGAATCACTGCGTCCAAAATGCCTACAACTTGTCTCTCAGAGTGGTATTCCTAGAGAACTCCAGTGGTTATGGCAATCTCAACTGTACATTAAAAGTATTTACTGGAGTATATTCCCACATAATACCTTCTCTTGTACGCCACTTTGTCTAAAATCTCTTTTGTCTCCCTCTTAGATTAAATATATATGTGTATATGTAGATAGAAGTGCTCTCATTTACCCTTTGTGCACTCACTACAGTTGTACATAAAAGAAGTAGTTGATCTCATATTGTGAGGACCTTTAACAAGCAAGCAAAGCTTTCTCATAGAGGCTCCTCATAGTGGGAAATGGATAATGATTTATAATTGACAATTATTTCTGTAAACAAAAAGTTCTAGTCATCAAAAAAGTTTAAGGGTTTTAAGTCCAGATAAGCTGATACTTAAACTCTGTTATGTTGAAAGGCAGAACTTGACTTTCAGATAGCACTTTGAATACAGACACAATAATAATTTCAAAAAGATAATTAACACTTCAAGTCCCCATGGATAGTGAGGTATTACACTTTGGGCCACTTGGGAATCAATCACATCCTGTTTATGTATTCCACTGGATCAAAGTGACTCCATTTTTCCATTTGTATGTTTTGGAGTTATAGCTCTGTATATACACCCATACAAATATTTCAATTTTTGGAGTATTTGCACCAAAGCAAGCCCCTTTTTTTTTCCCTAAGAAGAAAGCCTGGTTGTGTATTCCCAACAATGAGCAAGCTTTCACTGCACCAGGGCAATGGGCCTTTGTAGGGAAGGTATGAGCCAGGCCACAGCAGCTTACCACCTCTTTTGACTGATTCCTGCTCTGAAGAGAAATTGTTGGTGCTGTGGGTTTTTTTAAATTCAGCAATTTACTTGAAAATAAACCAGATGTACAATTAGTGCCCTAGAAGACTAATAATGTAAGAAACATTCCATTTAAGTTCCCTTACATGGTGAGTTAGCAAAGGCCATTCGAATCCAACACAGAATGGATCCCCTCAGTAAATACTGCAAAACATACATCTAGGAACACGGGTTTTCATGGGCAGAAGCCAGGCACACTCGAGCTCCAGGGAGTTAGGTGGTAAGGTCATAATTCATCAGCAGTAGTCAAAGGAAAGTCATGCCTGAGCAATCTGAGAAACTTCTGTGATGCAATGACTGGCCAGTCAAGGACAGGAGAGCAGTACATGGTGCTATCTGGACTTCAGCAAGGCCTTTCACACTGTCTCCTCCAAGCTCCTCATAGACGAGCTGTTGAAGTACAGAAAAACTGGCTGAATGGCCATGCCCAGGGGGTGGTGACCAGTGGAACCAAGTCTAGTTAGAGGCCAGTAACAAGCAGTGTACCCCAGAGGTCAGTACTGGGTCAAATCCTATTTTAACACCATTAATGAACTGGATGGTGGGGCAGAGCCTACTCTCAGCAAGGCTCTAGATGACACACAACTTGGAGGATCACGCTGTCATGCGTAGGGACCTCTGCAGGATGGAAAAATGGGCTAAGAGGAACCTCATGAAGTGCAACAGGGAGAAGTGTAAAGCTCAGCACCACCTGTGGAGGAACAATCCCATACACTGATACATACTGGGGCCACCAAGCTGGAAGATACCTTTGCAGAAGACAACATGGGGTCAAGGTGAGCACCAAGTTGGACATGGGCCAACAGCATGGCCTTGCCACAAAGGCAGCTAATGGTATCGTGGGCTGCATTAGGCAAAGCATCACCAGCAGGTTCACAGAGGTGATCCTTCCCTTCTACTGTATATAGGAGTACTGTGTCCAGTTCTGGGCTTCCCAGTTTGAGAGACAGACATACCCGAGAGTCCAACAGAGCTCTGGCCACAAAGAGAATTAAGCAACTGGAACATCTCACTTGTGAGGAAAAGCTGAGGTAGCTGGGACTGTTCAGCCTTGGCCACAAAGAGAATTAAGCAACTGGAGCATCTCACTTGTGAGGAAAGGCTGAGGTAGCTGGGACTGCTCAGCCTAGAGAAGGCTCAGAGAGGATCTGATCAACATAAATAAACTTCTTTGCACCCTCCCTTCAGACAACAGAGCCAGGCTCTCGTTAGTGGCACCCAGTGGCAGGACATGAGGGACTGGGCACAAACTGAAACACAGGAGGTCCCACCTCAATGTAAGGAAATAGTTTTTAACTGTAAGGATGACTGAACACTGGGACAGATTGCCCAGAAAGGTTATGGAGTCTCCTTCCATGGAGATACTCCAAAGCCACCTGGACATGGCTCTGGCCAGCAAGGTTTAAGTGGCTCTGCTTGAAGCAGGGGGGTTTGACAACATGACTTCCAGAGGTCCCTTCCAAACTCAACCATTCTCTGATTCTGTGAAGAAATGAAAATGCAGAAGTTTTGGGAAAAGGCAACATTTATTTTTAATACAAAAATTGCATAGAAATATGACTTCAGTCATCTTAAAACATTACTCCATTACTCATTTAGACTTGGTAATTCCCAGTAACATGGCAGGAATCAAGATGGGCTAACAATTGTCTACAATGTATTTACATTCAATTGGAGTTATGCATGCACAATATTTTTAAATCACACTGATCCAAATAAAATCTGATTCAAGGTATATTTTAAGTTCCCATAAAGCTCAAATAAAGTCTTCAGAACTCAAGTTCCTTGGATAAGACCAATTTTCATTTATTTAAATTTAAAGATAAGTTAGCTCCAAAAGTAGCAAGAAATGTAAACATCAGATAACAAGATAAAAATCTTAAGGAATAATAAATTTGTCATAAAGTGCTGGTATATGCTTTCAGCTTTATTTTCCAGGTGGTAAAAGTAGAACATTGATGTATGAAGACTTTCACAAGCTTCCCAGTTGTAATTTCAGTTCAGTAATATTTCTGCACAATTTTAAAGTGTCACCTTTTTATAAACACTCTTTTCTACCTTTCTCTGTTACAGCATTTTGACTTTTTTTATGTGAAGTGAACATTTAACTTCTGAGTATGTAAAAAATAGTTTGTATTTATAATTTACCCAGTTTATATTGGACTCCATGCTAGTGGAAAAAGCAAAAGGTTAGGTAAGTCTCCAACTGGGGAAAGACAAGGACCTTGAAAAGTAAGTGTATAAGGTACCTGAACACAAACTAAAAACTGCCTCCAGCAGAGTGATTTTATAATTATATATGTTATCAGTATCACTGAAAGAAGTTACATGAGTTAATACATAGAGGAGACTCCGTGTGGTTCACTTACATGTAGGCATCTGAGCTCCATATGTGCTGAATATATCTATTACTTCATTTCACAAGGATTTCAGTCTTGGAAAACTGTTCTTTCTTTTGACAAACATGAGCTGAAAGATAGTCTTACACCTCAGTCAGCTTTTCACTTGTCATCCTGTGTCATCCAACACAGAGACAACAGTCCTGAATTCCCTCATGCATTATGGTGATATTTTCTATTGAAATCTGTTTGTAAAAAAACCCTGTTCCTTCCTTGTATAAAGAAAGACTAAGTACAACATTTTACTACTCATAATGTTCAGCTCTCAATCACATTATTGCAAAACCTCCATCTGGCTAACTCTTGACAAGGCCACAGGCACACTTGAAGGTGACCAGGTTGTGCTATTATACAAACCAAAATCAAAGACATTTAAGTCTAAGCTTAAGTGGAAAATCCCAGAAATATTTTAAAGTGCCATTTACTTTCAAAATATTTATAAGAATTT